CGAAGGCCCTGGCACGGGCGCAGCAGTTGAAGCCGGTGCAGAGTTTCCAGCTCTGCTGCGGGAATACCGCATGCTGGCGTAGGCTCTGCGGGAGCGGCGGAGAGGCGTGAGTTTCGCTCGGAGCCAAGCAAGACGTGTAAAGTTGGCCCTGAAAACTGGCGGTGTCTTACCCTGATCGCTGCCGTGCAGCTTCCCACCCGAACGGTGTGGAGAATAGCTAAAGCGCACCCGCCCAGCCAGGTGCCGCGGAAGTGATTTATTTCCTTGTCGTTTGTGAAGCGTTTGCATAATGAAGGCGATACAACTTCAGGAGCTAATGCCTCTAATTTCAGAGTATAGTTCAAATTGGAGTCACATAGTAAACAGTAAGAAAGTGACGGAATAGGTGTGCAGTACTAGCAAAGCCTCATGGGCATATAGCAAGACAGGAGTCTCACAAAAAATAAAATATGCAGGCAACCGACATCCTGTTCAGGACTGTGGTTGACATGCATGTATTAAGTGAGGCTGTGCAGTTTTTCCCATTTTCCAACAGTTTGAACATGCAGGTGTAACGATAGAGCATGCTCTTCAGCTTTGAGATGTATCAAGCCACCACCTCTGACAGTTTTGGTGCCTTTGTATTAGCAACACTGGAGCCTTTCAGTCTGTCACTTGAGCTGGCGAAGTCACTGACAGTATAGCAGCACCATGAGAGGGAAATCGTCCTTGACAATGGGAACGAGCTACCTTCAGGAGCTTTTGAAGCTAGCTATGGGACGGCTTTTCATGTTGAAGTCCCGTGGTTTTTTTTCTGTCACAGCTGCTGTCCTGCCTTTAGTATTTTGGCATTGCTGCCAAATGTCGGTCCCTCTTACTGTGACCTACATGTTCTAGTCCTTAGATATCTTTTTCTTTACCTAAATACTTCTTGTCCCTGCGTGTTACTTTATAAAGTCTTTTCTGTGCAGTACTTTCCCCCCTGTTTAGAAGTGGATATCACAGGAGATTGCTGGACAGATAAGCTTGTTACTTTTGTCAGTGATTGGAACAGGAGTAGCATTGCTAAAAAGAAAGTCTGGATTTGACCAGCCACTGGTAGACTGAAGTGCTGTGTGCATGTCCTTTGGCAGTGTGTTTTCAGAGCTGAGGAGGCTCAAGCAAGCTCTCTGGGAAGGAATCCTAGGGAAACTTTAAAACTCTGGCAAATCTTTACCATGTATATGTAAACTGGCTCTTTCAGGGTGTGTAGTATAACTGAATGAGAGTGACTTTCATAATTGGTAAAAAGGACACACCTGTCAAATCTGAGATTATACTTCAAAAATGAAACATCACTTCATTACAGAAAATCTTTTTGTTTTTCCTTTCAGCAGGGTAAGGATTTCTGTATGAAACCCAGCTAGATGTAGACATCCAGGGAGAGATGTCCAGAGATCCTAAATGTAGATGTGGACATCCTAATTTTTTTTTTTTTCGATTTGTATCTTGTCATCACATTTTTGGAAAAACTATGAAGATACTGGTTGCCACTGCTCACACCTCTCGTTATTTCAGTCGCACTATTAATGTTACCATTTTGATAACTTGATAACTAAATAAACTATGTGAGTTTAAATAAGAGTAAGTGAACCAAAGTGCAGATACTCAGATATTTCAGGGATTTCTGCACACCTGTAAAAGGGACATGCCTTTAGATAGAAGTCTCTTCCTCCTTCCGCATGCTTTATCTTAAAAGCAAAAAGTTTGGAGCAAGGATTGAAAGTAAAACTACTAGCCAAAGAGGCCTCAGAACACTGAGTTATGAATATCTAAGCTACTGATTAGTCTTTCTGTAGAGGTGGGATGGCTAGTCCACAGAGCAATGTGCTGTAGACCAACAGTAATCAAAGCCTGAAAAAACCCTTGAGACAGTAACACAAAGTTGAGTCGCTTGTGGGCATTACCTGGATATGCTGGTTTTGGGAAGAAATGCTGTAACTAACTCTGCCGGCGGGAGGCAGCAGACACCCACCCCCCACCCCCCGAACATCCGCGCTGTTCGCAAGCACAGGTGAAGACGAGCCAGGTTGAAATACCCGTTCTACTGGTTGAATGCCATTCCTGCAGCCTAAAGCAGCTTGAGCTAATGTGGGGTAGTTAGGCTCTTTCGGCCGTACAGAAAGGAGCTGTCTTACTGCATGTTGGCAATCTCAGCGGGCTGAATAGATTCCATGGAGCACTTGTGGGTACAGTAAATGGTTGATTTGTTACAGTAACATCTTTGCTGCCGCATCAAGTTTCGTCTACTGTAGCTTTTCGTGTTGTACACTTATTTATAACAAAGTAACTAAAATTGCTCTGTAAACTGTTTGAAAGTATAGTTGACATTACATAAGCTGAACCTAAAGTATTTTTAATTATGTTCTGTGTTTCTTCTGTAAGAAAGTAATTTTGCAGACTTGCTTTGAAAGCTTTTCAGATTAATGTATTGGATTTTAAAACATTTGTTAAAGCAAAAGATATTGCAGTGCCGCTTGACAGATCAGACTTCTAACTTAAAAGAAACGTGTAAGTGTCTGTTTTGCTAAAAGAACGATTTCTTGGGTTTTGTTTTCAGGTGATCACTGGAGGTCATTATGACGTTGACTGTCGGTTGGAAGATCCCGATGGCATTGTGTTGTACAAAGAGATGAAGAAACAATATGATAGCTTCACATTTACTGCGTCCAGAAACGGAACATATAAATTCTGCTTCAGCAACGAATTCTCTACTTTCACACACAAAACTGTGTACTTTGATTTCCAGGTTGGAGAAGATCCACCACTGTTTCCTAGTGAGAACAGAGTAACTGCACTTACCCAGGTAAAACGCTGTTGTGTTTGACAGCAGTTGTTAGGTGGAGGCAGTTGTTTTTGGAGTTCAGGTGCATTAGATACCTGTATCACTTTGGATTGGAGCTTTTAAAATAATCTGAATTACTACAAATAAGCTTTCTTTCTGAACATAGGATTTATAGAATACAGAACAGAGCTGGGAAGGAATTGCCAAGTGCTAAGAGAAAATTAGGGTAGTAACTTAAGCACTAGGCCACTATTTTTTTTTTTTAAGGGAACCTCCTTTTAATGCCATGGTTGTGTGCGTCTTGAACTGTTGATTTCACAAACTGCAATTTTCAGTGAATCAGAGGTTTAGAAGTTTCCAAGCTTTCAAGAAACTTTGAGAAGTGTTTATACATTTAAAATGGTAGAGTCTTTTTTGGGGGAAGACTTAAGTTGACCTCTCATGTAACTGTCATTTTTAAAATGGAGAAGAGAATTCTAGCAAAATAAACAAGTGAACAAAATCAGCGAAATTTAGCTGGCTTTTAGATATTTATCCTTTGTAAGACACTACAAAGTGTCAGATCATGATTATATTTTCAGATTTTACAGTTTTGTACTACCTCTACCCATTCTAAATCCATCAAAACTTCCCTTGGAACACTTTCTTCGTGAGTTCCCACTAATGTCCTTACATTATAACTGTTGCCAAACCTCGCTTCAAACAACCATTGAAGAATGTTGGACGTGGTCACTGTTTTCCTCGTCTGGACTCAGCAGTGTAAATACTGCTTCCCAAATGCCAGCCTCACTTGAATTTACCTCACATAAGTCTGCAGTAGCTGAGATCTGTGATAAGTAGATGACTTGCTGTGAATTCAACTACACCTCTTGCCTCTTTCTTCTTGTCGTTCTTCTGCTTTGGTTTATGTTGTGTTCTGATTCTTGACCCTGTATCTTTCCATCTCTTTGCTTCAGTCTTCATTCTGTTCAGTCTGTGTGTTCTGTTAGCGTCTGGTTTTTCTTTTGCTGTCTTGGCATCAGCAGAGGGATTTTGAAAATGCAGAACATGCGGTTCCTGAGTACAGCATCTCTGCAGCCCCTTGCAGCCTGTGGGAGAAGTTTATACAAAAATAGTTTTTCACTGGATTGTCACATACACAATGCAACTAAGGTATTTGGGAAAGGACAAGTTAATTTTCAGAGTACAACATGCCTTCGATAAGAAGGTTCTTGCTGCAGTTTTCGTGAGGCTTGTAGCATGACCGAATTTGGGCAGCCTTTCACAAGGACAGCAAAAGGTAGATCCCTAAAACCAGAGTGGCTTTTGTTTAAGTCCCTTGTGCAGACTAGGAGAGCTCTATAATTTGTCATGAGACCAATGGCAGAACTTAGTTTGGAAAACCTGTTCCTGAATTTTGTTGAGAAGACTTGTTCAGACACCTGTCTCAAAGGTCATCAACTTGAAAAGACTGTTAGGCACAGATATAAGTATCTGAGAGTGGTCCTATTGGGGTGTTGAACATTTCCTTTTATAATAGTTTGTGTTATTTAATCTTCAGGAAGTACTAATTCTAAGTCATAAAACAGACAGATGAATTGTGACTAGAAAGTAAGTATTTTGAAGTTTTATTAATTAATTTCTCAATCAAAACAATGAGGAGTACTGACTTTTACTTACACAAGATAAACTGAAAGTGGAAGACGTTTATGTGAAATATTATCTAGGGGTTGGAAAACTGGTAATACTTTTTTTTTTTAATGGAAAATGACAATGAAGTTGGGTAATTCATTAGGTATTTGTTACATGATTAAGTTACTGAAAGGTAACAATTATCCTTTCTCTAACCACTTTTTGCATACACGACTGAGAGAAGAGGCTCTTGCCAAAAGAACATATTGAGCTCAGTAATGTAGATTTTAGGATGTACAACTTGAGTGAGATTATGCAATGAAGAATGTCATGCTTGTAAAACACAGAGGGATTTAATATATACTGGGTGCATCCTAGTGCTGTAAGCAACTGCTCGTTTTCCTGGTATGTATGGAATTAACAACTGAAGGATCACTGGCATTTCAATAGTGTTTCTAATGTCCATTTTGAACCCAAATATGGATGAATTTAAGATTTGTTTAGTTGCTCTCAGAGCCCGTTGCTTTTAATTAGATCTACAGTTTTACATGCTTCTGTATTTAAGCGTCTGTCGTGTTCCTGTGTAGAGTTTGATCAACGTAAGTTAAATTTTACTGCATTTAGAGTATTTCAGTCTGACAATGGACTGAGTTTATCCTTAGCTTGCAAAGTTATATGAATTCTGATTTTAAATATCAAATGACAAAACGTTGCAGAAGAAGCACTAGAAGGGTTCTTAATTCAGTGCTGTGTATTTGTTTGCTTCTCTAGATGGAGTCTGCGTGTGTTTCAATTCATGAAGCATTGAAGTCTGTCATCGATTATCAGACTCACTTCCGCTTGAGGGAGGCGCAGGGCCGCAGCCGAGCAGAGGATTTAAACACGAGGGTGGCCTACTGGTCAATAGGGGAAGCAATCATTCTTCTTGTTGTTAGTATTGGGCAGGTGTTTCTTCTCAAGAGCTTCTTCTCGGATAAAAGAACCACAACAACCCGTGTTGGATCATAACTGGTAGTGGTAGTGGTTCAGGTCATCGTGTGCTACTCATCTGTAAAAACTAACTGTTCTTCAATTACTTGTAGGTTATGGGGATCTGAATATATGCAACATTCAAATGTGTCTACCCCTCCTCCCTCAAAAATCACAAAACAGACCCAAAAAGTTGTGAAAGGGATACATGATTTGAAATATTTTAAAAATACTTTGGAACTTAAGTGTTTTCTGATTTCTGTATTAAATATACAGCAGTGACCAGCCTCTCTATTTCCACTGATTTTAATCCAAACTGAGTTTGATTTTTACTGGTAAGATTAGCTATCTGCAGTATAAGACTTTAAAATAACCCAGCAGTTTAGTGTTTGATATGAGAGACAAAATAAATATATGAAAATTTGACTTGATTTTAACTTTCAGGCTGAATGTGTTGGATTATAAAAAAAGCAAATGTGATGAACTGTAGTGCACTGTTTTGATTTGCTGTTAAATAATCCAATGGTAACCCTTGCTTTTTTGTAAAATTGTTGCAAGCTTGACACTACATCATGGTGCAAATTCTCCGTCAGCCTGGTAAGTCTCCATCTTCAAAACCTGCTAAATTTTATCGTTGAGTATGTTTGCCTAAACATACAGTCTTCTATATTAAAATAAATGCATTTCCTCTTTTACGATGCTCATTTTACAGAACAAATTGTGAGCTGAGACTACTCAGGAAATCCACTTTCTGTATTCAAAAATCCAAATTTCCAAGTTTATTTAAAAAACATGCAATAAAATAGTGAATCTTGTAACTTTGTCACTAAAACTGTACGGTTTCTGTACTTGTACATGCTGCTGCTGCTTTTTGGGTCTGAGACCAGAAGTAGCTTGGTTTGTTAAGCAGCACAGCACCAGCACTGGACGAGGATATATTATGTGTTAGGCACATAGAAAGCTTTTTACTAAATGGTTTTCCTCTTTAGAGGCCAATTTGATATTGATACTGCATTGCACAAGTGCTGTAAATTTTACTTTCCTGTGTGTGGTGCACTGATACATGATGGCCTTGTGCATCTGATTGCCACTCTTTTTTGCTAGTGGTCAGGAAATTTAATTTTAAATATACCAGGTTATCTTTTGGGTAGAGTTATAGTTAAATTCTTTCCACTGCTCATGTCTTTAGTAGCTTATGTACTGTAAAGTCTTGTTTTATTTGGATGTGGAAAGTAGTAAATGTGTGTGCATACAAGTAGCTTGAATTGAGCTGGTCATAATAAGGCTAAAGTCCATAAAATGGCTCTGGAGGAATAAGTAGACTGACCAGTTCTTAAGTGTATACAAACTAAACTAAGGTGAAAAAAGTTGTCATATATTACTGGCTAATGCAAAAGATGCTTCTTAAACAAGTTCTTAGCAAGCAGAGAAAGAATCCTAAACCCTTATTAATCGCCTGTATTATTTCTAGCAAAAATTTGAAATTACATGTGCAGGTGACACTTGAGCAGTCTGAAGACTTGATCTAAGATGACTTGATTTTAAAATCTTGTGATGGCTGAAAAAAGATAAAATGAAAGTGTATGTACCCTGTGCTGTGAACTGAACAGCTGCTCTTTGGGAAACTGAAGAAAAACGTCAAGACAGCTCAAAAATTATTTCAGAGGTCATGGGGGTATTGAAAAGCTTAATGTATGTAAACTTCAGGTTTATATATAATGTTTTTCTCTCCTGTACTGAATTTTAAATACTGCAGTCACGTTTTGGGATGCAAGCTTCCCAGAAATAGTTAGACTCACAAAGATCAGAAAACAAAAAGCTAGTGCTTTCTTTTTATGATACAAATCTGTGCCTGCACACAATATTCTTAATTGTACCTATATGCTTTGTTCTTGTTTAAGCAGCTGATACTCAGTACTTCTGTGCTGCGTTGCATACAATAATGAAGCAAGTGGTACACTTCACGTGCAAGTGTCAGATGAAAACATGATTTAATTTTGGTAGCGTCCACTGTTGTCTTCTGGGCTTTGAATATCACTTGTGTAGCTTCAATCACAACAAAAGCATTTGTTTTAAAGACTGAAACCTGTTGGGTTTTTTTCCACTGAGTTATTCTGTGTGCTGTCAAAATTGGTAAACAACGGGGTAAAACAGGTAATTGTCAGCCATCACGTACATGTCTCTCTTGTTCTTTTATAATGTTTGAATGTGTGAAGTGGGTCTGTTCACCTCAATATTACTCCCGCTGCAGAGGTTTAGTGGACTTGACTTTTGCATTGAAGTTAGGTATCCAACCGGTCCTCTGGTGTCCTGCTGCATAATACGCAGCAATAGCTTAAAAATGCCTTTATTTTTGTGTTGTTAAAAACATGGCACAAATACACATGTTTAAACATAGCTGTATATAGTTTTTAAAATAAGTGACTGAATAGGATATAATAAAACACATTGTAACACGCAGTGGGTGAAGAAATGCATTGTGAGTTTTGGTTAAAGCTGCATCTTTTCAATATATGAGAAGAATAGTTTGGTTAATGGTGTGATGCACAAGTAAACGCCCTGCGTTAAAGGGGATATTACTGTATTTTTAATTGCTAAGGCCTGGGTTTCAGCTATTCCTTGGATGTTTTATGTTTACAGAACTTCTTTTCATGTCCTGAAATGTCAGTTCTTGTTTTAGATTGGGGGAGGGGGCAAGTTTAGTTTGAATAAGGCAAAAAGCAGCCCCTGTGAATATTGTATGGGAAAATAAAAATTAATATATGAATGTGGTCTGATTGTTTTGTTTGCATGCAGGAGTGGAGAGTGTTGTTCTTCAAAAAAGCCTTGAATAACAATTTGAATAGCCTTGTATTTTAACACATTACAGTTAGTCTGCCACCTGACACTTGATCATTACTTCTGTTTCTGTACATCACAAAGTGTACTGGTTCACTGCTGTTCATAATTAGCTGTGCTTTCAGGTCACTGGAAGAACTCAGGTTTGAGCGAGATAGTGTGGTTACTGGCTTATGCGCAGCATGTTAACAGTGCAGGCAGTAGATCTGTTCCTGTTGGAGTGGAATTCAGAGTATTTGACTACAGATGCCAGGAATGACTTCGGACTTACTGCGTGTTTTCACATTAATTCTGTAGATAGAAGGTTAATACAGGATGAGCTTGAAAGGTGCATCCAGTTAGTGTTGTCTAATGATGAGATAGAAACTTCAAATATGTAGTAACTAAGTATGTGATTGGAGATACTATATATTCAGCCTCTTGCTGAATCTCAGCACATACCAGTTAAGTTTTAAAAGCAGGTAGAGTAGGCATCATTGCTTGGTGTGGACACCTTCCAAAATGACTTTTTCTTGCTGTTTGTCTTTCTCCTATGTTGGTTGCTCTACATTCAAAAATTTTCAAGAATATATACAGTACTTGGATTAAAGAAAGTTTTTGTCTAGAAGTATGGGTAAGTTATCTTTCAGTGATGTGTTACTGTTATGGTCAAGTAGTTGTCTGGGGCTTTTTTAGGTGCCTGGCACCTTAAGCTTAACATAAGTTGTGGTCTGAAGCACTTCTCCACTGAAAGCTGATCATCTGAAAAAAAAAAATCAAACCAAAAAACCCCAGAAACAAAATTAGGCAAAGTGAAAAGATGAGGCAGTGAATTGGCTGACTTTTATGATGATGAAGGCTTTTATCAAGGAGGGAGTAGAAACATGCACTACAACCCATTTTAAACAGTTTCTTGGCCTGCCAGACTGCCTGAGGGCACAACTGCAGCAGGGACACTGCAACCAGGATTTTGTATGACTTGGGCAAGGGCAACAATTCTTGGAAGAAGCACTTAAAGCCTGACCCTGCAGTTCAGCGGGGTGTTACACTGAGTGTGCAGAAAGCTGGTATACTGCACCAGGTTACTCTAGGAGGTGTGCTGTGCTTGGTAAGCCCATGAAGTTCATCACGTGATACAGATCCTGTTTCCTAAGTAGTGTGGGGTTTTGCAGCTTATAGTTACATTCTACATCTCTTACTGCATATTATGGAGAACTAAGATTTAAATTGTCTAATGCAATTCTGGAGTCATTCCTATTGACTTCAGAGGCTTTTGTATGGATTGACTTTCAGGTGCCATCAAACTGTGTCTCATCATCATTTATTCTTGATGTGCAAACATTTCATGCCCTAACTGGGCTCTTCACCGGAAGTAACCATACTTGTACTAAGGGAGAAATCCAGCAGTAAGGGGAGCATCATCTAATGTCAACGATTATTTAAGACTAAGTCTTAGCAATCCTAATTACCATTACTGAGTTATTTCCCTTAGCCACTGAGTTAGTCTCTATGCATTTACAGCTGATGAGTGCTAGTTCTGCTTGTCAGTTAGACCATGGACATGTTTCTTGAAGTGATTGAAATCTTCCAACATCACCTGATTTCTTGTTGTTAAAAACAGATTGAACTCCTCTTTCTGTACAGCTCAGTGGAGGAGAATTGAACATGGGCCCTAAATGAGACAGATGCAAAGTCTCTCTCACATTCCTGCCCTTCGCTTCCGCAGTTGTCAAATCAATTTCCAGAAAAGCGAGGTTATGGTGTATGTGTACTGAGGATGCTACTGATCTTGACTAAGTGTTGTCAGACGTGAGGGGAAGCAGCAACTCATCTCAGCTTAGGAAGCACTCTGCTTACCTGACAGTGACAGCTCTCAAAAGGTTCATTATTTGTATTAAAAAGTCCATGTTCCCTCAAGGCAAGATCACACGTAAGCATAAGGTGGTTTTACTTTGTGATACTTCTAAGCAGATTGATTTGACTCTTGCCTTCTCTCCCACCTTCTAAGGAGAACCAGGACACGTGCAGGTGGTCTGTTGAGCATCACTGGTGTGCAACACAGCAATTTTAAGCAATTTGACTGCCTTGTGCATCTGTGTTTCATGTTTCTTGGCATTACAGGCTGTTTTGCTGGTGGGCTAACAGAAAAATGAGTGACACGGGGCATGCTGTAGCCTTGTTGCTTGTTTTCAAGATGCAGAGTCCTCTGCTGATGAGTCATCTATGTTGTAATTTTACCAGAGTGCAGAAACTAATCTTTTTAGGAGCACCACCATTCCTCAAACTTACTGCTGTTAACTCTGTGTTTGGTTGTCAATAGAGGCCATTGAACTGGACTTCCTAAACATTTTTGTAGCCTATGTCTCTCACCATGAGACACTGTCCATGTTGGAG